ATTGTTAAGTGCTGTAGAGTGATTTCAATTCATAGCAACCCTTTGTAGGGTTTCCAAGGGGCAGCTAGTAGGTTTGAACTACTGATATTGTAGTTAGCAGTCCAGTGTGTATGCTACATTGCTACACCAGAACTCCCCTCATAGGGTTAATAATGTTCAAATTAAATAGTGAATCTGAAATGCTTAATTCAGTGACTAGTGACTGACATATAGTAAGAACTCAAACATCATCTCTTTTTTCCTAGTAAAACTTGCCTTTCCTTCAATGTTCAGGTCAGTGAATTATTATTGATTTTTATATCCTTCACATTGTTCAAGATTGAACCTTCTGGGAAACCTATACAACCATCCTTTACTTGCAGGTTGTTATTTTTCCTATCTTCTCTACGAGTCATTAACTGATCACACAAATATAATTGGGGTACAGAAAAGAAGTGAATTGAACACTCAAACAGGGCTTTATTTTGCTTTCTATCATGAATAACGACACTAAAGACTTTTTAATATGCTTATTGACTCTAGGTTATAATATTTCTGAAGTGCCTCTTCAAGTTTACTGCCATTTTCTATTGCTTATTTCATCTTTTCTTATTTATTTACTTGCATGAGAATTTATATATTTTGCATTTGAGTCCTTTTACAGAAATTGATATTATGAATACAGCTTACCCTTCTGTGCATTGACTGTTCACCTCATTAACCTCTTTTGTGACTTTTGACAAAAACAAATTAAAGATATATTTAAATAAACGTTTATATTCATTTATCATTTTTCATGTTTGTAGGAAAATAGTTAAATGCTTTGCTTATTTTAAGCACTAATAATGCTTTTCATCTCTACCATTTCTGATGAGAGAGTCAGGGATCATCCTATATATCATCCTATTGCATTCTTATATTATGGTTTCTTCTGAGAAAGCAGTTCAGTCTTATGGTTCTCATTCGTAGGTAACTTTGTCATTTTCCCTGAGCTTTTGTCAGGTTTCTTTTCTTGTGTTTGGTTTTAGAAAGTTTGATTATGATATGTCTTCATAATTTTCTTTTGAAGTCTACCCTGTTTGGGATTTATTCAGATTCTTTAATGCTTATAGTCTCATATTTCATATTTCATGTTATTAGGGAAGTTTTCTTCCACAAACTCTTTGACAATATTCTCTGTGCTTTTTTTTTTTTTTTTGTCACTTCCTGCTCTAGAATGTCAATCACCCATAAATTATTCCTCTTCATAGTGTCCTACATAAATCTTTTTTGTGAATTATTTCCCTGCTTTTTATGATTGTTCTAGAATACTAGTATTGAGAGAATTATCCTCAAGGTCACTAATTCAAGCATGCATTGATTCAAATCTACTCTTTGCCCTTTCAATATATTTTTCATGTTTGAAATCTTAATTGTAATCTTCTGGATTTATGTTTGCAGGTTTTGTATTGCTTTAAAACTTCTATATATTTTGTCTGTTGTTCTTATAGTGTTTTTCTGGATGCCTCCAAAGTGTGTGGTGTTTTTTTTCAATGTTTTTCTTGCTTTCCTTGATCTTTCTCTCAATCCATTGACAATACCTATATTACTCTTTTTCATTTTTTCTCAGGTACTCACAATACTCTTTCTTCCCTAGGAACATTTTCTGGCTCTACACATTGGTCACTTATTAGAGTCATTTGGCCTTGTTTTTTCATGGGAACTGAAATTGTCTTTTGTCTCCAAGACATTGTGTCATTGTATTTGTATTTAATTTATGTTTGTGTACTGCTGTGTTCTTAAGCTCTAACCAACTGCTTCCTCATGGGTGTGATTAGAGAATGGAAGCGTGTGCATAGTTCTCCATTCAGCATTTACACAGCTCAGTTTAAGGTAAGTTTGGCTGGTTTAGGCTAGTGTTTGTCATTGATCAGGTGGTATAAGAGCTAGTATTGACTCTTGCCCAGTAGTTGGAGCTGCAGGGCATATAGTTTTGGCTGGGCTGTATGGGCAGTTTCTGTCTCCCATTTAGTTAGCCAAGAAGAGGAAACACACACACAAGAAAGGAAAACAGACAAGCAAGCAAACAATAGCAAAAATGAAAATAATACAGGGGTAAAAAGAAAAGACAGGCAGCTACAAGGAAATGGAATATAATAACTAAAATGAGAAAAGAAAAACAAAAATAAAGCTGTAGAAGAAAAGAATTTAAAGCAAAAATAATGAAACAATACTAGAGAAAAAGAACATGAAAAGAGAAATCTAGAGAGGAGTGAAGAAAAGAAAGAAGGAGAGAAGAAAACAAAAGTTGAGATAGAAAGGATTAAAAACAAAGGAAGGGAAAGAAAGGAAGAAGGGGAAGAAAGAATAAGAGAAAGAAAAAGCAAACAAAAAAATGAAAGGAAAACCTAAAAGCTAAATAAAGGCAAGTGTGGAATCCAGAGAGAAGAAAACTCTGGGGAGCTCCTGCCACAAGATGGGTGAGGGAAGGTTGAGGAAACATAGTCCCCAACCTTGGATGGAGTTACAATAGGCGTAGGTGTTGTCTACATTCAGGATGCCCAATCCAGAAGTAGTTTTCCCTGGCTTGAAAGGTAGCTGGGTTCAGTGTCTGACAGACAATGGGAAGGGCAGCTGGCTTTAAGGGTTCCTAATAGTCTAGGACTGGTGTAGTGGTGTGGTAGGTTCCAGGAGCCTGGCATAGAGGCTGTCTGAATCCAGCTTCCAGGCAACACTTGTCTCACACTGGCTCAACTCACAACCACATGACTCCAAATTCCCAATAAGTAGGGTCGGCACTGGGGGTGGATGAGTGTAGGGGCCAGTCACATCTCTGGTAACCAAAAGAGCACAGGGAGCAACAAAGAGTCACATCTTTCCTGTTACCAGTTGCTGGTGTGTATCTGTGCTACTAGACCACCAAAGTTACTGGAAAAAGTTCAAGATGGCTGCATCGTGTCAAGCTAGTGGACTCTTCATCAGTCTGTCTCCTTCCATCACCACTCCTGCTCAGTACGTTTTCAGTCTACTTCTCTATCCTTTCTTCTGAAGTTCAGGGTTCCAGAATTGTCATCTATATCTGTCATCTAATCTGTCTCCCATATTTTTGTTGTAGAGGGTCTGTATGGAGTGCCTGCCTACTCAGCCATCTTGTAGGAAAACTCCAGTCATTCTTCTAAATGTTGTTTCCCAGAACAACATACATCATCTTTCTCCAGCTGTTGATAAGAATTTTTCATACTTGAATATATAATTTGAATGTGGATTTTCCAGCCATGCTGTGATTCTTCTGCTCAAACGATTGCTGATGGATTTACAGAATTACTATTCAACTTCATGATAATCCACAGCCCATTGCTCCTGACAAAGGAGTATATAGTAAATCAAGGGTAGCCAGAAGGTGAGCAGTGTGAGTCCACCAGGTGATTCACACTAGAAAGATGAGGCTTTCTACTCCCATAAAGATTTACAGTTTCGGAAACCCTAGGCAGGGTGGCTATGATTTGAAATCAACTCCACAGCACACAACCACCACTACCACTACCACCACCAGTGAGTACAGGTGCTTTCTGAGAGCAAAGGAATTATGGGCTGGCTAACAGAAGAGTTAGTTATAAAAACCAACTGCAATCATATGACAATTTGCAGAAACTAGGACTATATTTATGTACATAGTAGTCATTTGCTATTTTCTCTCCCATTTGCCTACATGTAGTACCATAAAATTTGATCTTATATCTCAACCATTAAGCTACAGGACATCTAGGTGGGGGTATGGCTCAACTAGAAGAGAAAAGAACATCACCCAAAGACAGAAAATGAATATTGTAACCTCTTTGCAGGAGAGTTAGTATGTTCTTGATTGAACGAGAAATAGTTGCATCGTGTTAGGGGAAAGTTTGATTTTGCTCTTGCCTTTATTTGGAAGTTAAATGTTGTTAAAAGAAATGCATATGACAAAAGAAGTTCCATGGTGACAAGAAATGTACTATGTGTCCACTTAGGTAAGCTGGAAATACATTTATGGTACTGCATAGTTCTGGACTAGAGTTTACAAGAAGAGAAATTCATAAAAGATTTGGAGGGTAAGTATGATGTTGTTGTTAAGCACCATCAAATTGATTCTGACCCATAGCGACTCTGTATAGGGTTTCCATGGAGAAGCTGGTGAGCTTGAATTACCTTCACTTCAAACGACTTTGCATTCTGATGCATTAGCCCAAGTACCGTACCATGACTCCAGTAAGTATGATACAGAACCTATATTTAATTCCCTGCAGGTTGGTGCACGGTTCAGGGCTTGTGGAAACTGTCACTCATCTCTGTTACCTCACTTTTCCAACTCCTATTCGGTCTCCTCCTTCAGGTTTTCTTTGTCCTGGATCAAGAATGTGGCATGATGATAAAAGCAAAGAGCTTCTCCTAAACATCACCAACTACAGTGGTATCTAAGTAAGCGAGAAACAGACAGGTTTCAGTTTGTCCTTGTGGGTTTCAGTTTTACAAATGGGTTCCATTTTGTCCTTATAAGTCACATTTTTCCCATGCTCTTGTTCACATCCAGCTTTCCTTCTCAAATATTTCTCTAGCTGACCTATAGTGACTTTAGACTCAGTACCAGATGCAAAGAAAACAGCTTTGCATAGACTCCTCCACCACTCTGGCAATTAATCCACTAGTCCTTATAATTAATCTCTTACTCTATTTTGCTAATGGTTGTTCTACTTCTTTGATTGAACTCTGGCTGACAGAAAGCCTAAGAAGAAAGGTCTAAGTAAATGATCATCATCATCATGGTTATTCCCAATATAAAATTACTAGTCCCAGTTTTGTGCTGTGAGCATCTTTAAGTGAAACTGCCACTTTAATTAAATCATTATAAGGCAAGCTTTTTCAACATTAGACTGCTTTACAGACCTCCCATATAATCTATTTTAAGTAAAAAAGTCAAGATTGAGAACATCTTTGAAGATTGTTATTTCAGACACCTGTTTCCAAATAAGACTTTACTTAGAATGAAGTTCTGTGATCCAGACCACATGTTAAGCAACCATAGTCACTAATATTTCTAGTCTGGGAACTGCAGGTTGTGAGCCTGGGCTCTGTAACAGGGAGATCTCTGTTAGTGAGCTCTGGGGTTTTTGTTCAGCCTTCACTATTACTTCACACACCGTGAGTTCCCAGAGAGCACAGAAGTACTTTCCTGAATCATCTAGTTGTAAGGTTGAAATGATGAGGCTGATAGATTTCCCTTCTTTCTGGAAAACTGTAGCATAGCGACCACTCTGTGAGTCCTGTGTAGAAGAACTCTGGCGAATAAGGAATACTATCTCACCACTGGAAAGTAGCTTGTACCACAAAATATAGTACACTGACTGACTTGTTTCACATCGACAGTTCAGAATGGCATTTCTCCCCTCTTGCATGGATATATCTGACTGATCTTGAATAACATTCTGGGCCAAAATGGATCCTGTGGGAAAAATCAGAGAACAAAATTGTTTTCTGGTATACGGGATGAAATATTGCAAGAATTAGACTAATTGAGAAACCTAACAAACTGAATTGACATCTTAGTATACCGGTTTTCTCCAATCCCCCTTTCCTCCTCAAGTCAATGCAAATGACCATATGTTGTGTACAATCTTTTCATCCTGAACATCCTTACCCATGCTTGGAATCCTCCTTACCAGAGTACGTGATGACCACGAACAACCACAGACGGCTGGAAAGTGGCATGTGGCACATGTTCCTTTTCACAAATGTGCTTTCTTCTGCTTCAAGCTCAGAGTGCAGTATCTTTGAGAGCTGTGCAGTGTATATACATAATTCCTGTGTTCTAATGCTACTCCCACAAACAGGAAATACTGTATCTAATGTGTGTAGATCACATGGCCTATGCACAGATGAGAAGAAAATCTGGCTGATTCCATATCTTCACTTTGTCTACTTGTCTTTTCCTTGATAATTAAATTAGGCAATACATGATATGAGACATGAAAAACAAAAACAAAAACAAAAACAGGTAATATAGAGGGTTGGCGCAGAAAGGAACCAATGATTGAATCAATTTATATACATGGATTATTCAATGGAATATTTGGGGAGCTCATTTATTAAGGGCCATGGACCCTCTTTGCAATCTATTTACTGCTCACTCAATATGTGTATGTTTGCTTTTCTCCACCCAGAATCTAAAGAAGTTAGGGAGAATTCACCCAGGCTTTGTCTGAGAAAGCAATTCTATCCAGTACAATTACTACATCTCTTTCTCCTTTCTTAATGAGTTTCAAGACTTTACTTAAATTGTACAATAACTAGAGCTACTTCTGATCAGATGATATAAATTCAGTCCTCCTGACTTGCAGACTCTACTCTGTTGTTTATGCTTCTGTAATATTGTAACAAATAAAATACAACGGTAATAAAAAATATTGCTACTAGGGTTCTAGTTAATACATGTACTGGTTTACTCCGAACACTATGTGTTTAAAAATGTCTCTACAATTGGCAAGTGCTGCAGACAACTTCTTTCCATAATACAATAGTCTTACTCTCATTGGTGGCAGTGGTGGTTGTGTGCCGTTGAGTCGGTGCAGATTCATAGCGACTACGTTTCCGAGGTTCCGAGGCTGCAAATCTTTACCGGAGCAGAAAGCCTCATCTTTCTCCCACAGAACAGCTGGTAGTTTTGAACTGTTGACCTTGAAGTTAGCTTGACTCTTAACCACTACGCTACCAACGCTCCTTTTATCCTCATTTGTTGGTTGTTGTTGTTGAGTGCCGTGGAGTCAAATCTGAAACATAGTAATCCTGTCTAGGGTTTCCAAGGAGCTGCTATGAGCTTGAACCACTGACCTTGCTGTTCAAACAACTGTGCTGTCTAGTGCATTAACCCACAGCGCCACACCAGGACTCCATTGCTGTTGTTGTTAAGTGCCGTCCAGTCGATTCCGACCCATAGCAACCCTGTATAGGGTTTCCAAGGAGCACCTGGTGAGCTTGAACCACTGACCTTGCAGTTCAAACGACTTTTCAGTCTGATGCATTAGCCCACAGTGCCACACCAGGACACCAGGACACCAGGACTCCATTCGGTGCCTTAAAAAAAAAAAGAGTAAATTAAAACAATCACTTCCAAAAGAATCTTCTGACCAATTACATTCAAGGTAGAGAGGTTAGCTCAAAAGATTATGGCCATCGTTTGGGGGGACTCCGAAGGGGTCATCTTATAGATTTTCTTGAAGGACATAGGACAATCTTGGGAGCTTATATAAAGAAGTTTTCAGAACACTGAAAACCACATTGGTTGAGAAAGGTCCAGGAAAGTTGTGCCAAGGAATTTTTTTTTTTTTTTTGTCTATTGTGACAGAGCATCTGCTCATTCTTAGAGGGTAGCAAGGATTGTCCTATGAGAATGAGAACTCCATCGGGAAACTTTTCCCTATTGACCCTGCAGGCCTGATCCTTCATTTTCAGATTTCTTTTTGATCTTAAAATTCAAAGAACATATCAAATTAATCCAATTTGAGTCTCTCAAGGAAATCAAAACTATGTTGACATGGCTTAAAATGGAGAGTGCAGAATCCTTTGGGGAAGCGTTGTTGTTGTTAAGTTGTTAATTGTCATTGAGTCAGTTCCAAATCATAGCGACCCTATATAGGGTTTCCAAGGATCAGCTGGTAGGTTTGAACTGCCGAGTTTGTGGTCTCAGTCCAGTGCCGTAGAGAGATGGAAATATCACCTTCAAAAGAGTATAGACTGAGATGGGGAATATACTAAGAAACAAAACTTCATATTTTAATTTTTAGTTTTGTAAAGATTTCTATGAGTTTGAAACAATAATTTTTACGTATTCTTATATTATAATTTTTAAGTGACATTGACTTTCGACTACAGGAAGATAACAAAACAATTTTTTATCAAGAAAATAGTGTAAATTGCAACAATTTGAAGACCTTGAACTATACTTATAGATGTAGTAGCTCAAAATACCAACTAAGAGGGAAGGAGTCTTCACATCAAGGATCAAGCCTATCCCTTCTCTTATACAGGCTTCCTAAGGAGGGACAACTTAGACATGGCTACAAAAATGAAGGGGCTACAAAGGCACAAAGTGACTGGCTTACAAATTTTCAAGAGGTAGTTTAGTATACGAGTGTGCAGGGTAAGGTGGAGTCCCCATTAAATAGTTTTCATTTTGTATAGATGGGTCTGGTGAAAAGAGATGGGGATAAGATTCTTATGATTTAATAGTGAGTAGTCCTGGTGTGGCGCTGTGGGTTAATGCGCTAGACTGCAAAGTCTGTTTGAACTGCAAGGTTGGTGGTTCAAGCTCACCAGTTGCTCCTTGGAAAC